AGAACCTCAGGGCATTTGGATCAAGGCTGATTTTTAAGTTAAAAAGGAAGAATGCTAACAGCTGAATCGGGTTGAGAGCAGAGTTGACTTGACAACTTTGGCTGCCGGACAGGGTGGGGGTGGGGCTGTCACAATACCCCAAACAGTCTGCTTCCCAGCCTCAGCCCAGGTTTTCATGTGGAGGAGATGCCCCCCTGACTCATAGTGATTCATCTCCTGTTGGGGGAAGGGTCAGGGAAGGGGCCTGCCCACCACCCACAGAGTGCCTTAAAGTCACAAGACAGCCCCCAACCCTCCAGCTTCTGCCAGTAGAGACTCCCAGCCCACTGGCTCTGAGTCTCAGTTGCCTGGGCTGTGAAATGGGTCACTAAGGCTACCACTCTGAGCATGCTTGCAAGTGAAGAGGGTGGAATGGCAGGGGACTGTGGTTTGAAGACCTTGTCATTCATTCACTCACTCATTCATTCATTCATTCATTCATTCACTCATTCAGTGAAGAGTGGGGGAGCTTGCATGAACCTTCTTCCAGCAGGCTGGTTACTGCAGGGGTATCCAGTGAACCCCTGGTGCAGAAGGAATTCGGGGGGCAGTATGAGTGTCTCTGTTGGGGTTCTGATTCCTGGCTCCCTCCAGGGCCCTGAAAGAGGGTCTGGGACACACTGCTCTACCTTCAGCTGCCCCTGTCCCGTTTCAGGCCTTTCTCACCCACTTTTTACTTTCAGCTCTTATCTGTCTGTAGGAGTCTTGGTATAAAGCACTGTACTACTAGCCATAAGGTCGCTCAAACCCACCAGCAGCTTCTCAGAAAGCTTATACAAGGTTGCTGAGTTGGAACCAGCTTGACAGTACTTAACAACATCTGTCTGTAACTTGTCTACAGTGAGAAAAGTTAAGTCTATGAGGAAGATGAAATGCGCATGGTGTTTCCTGCCCCGTTTTCCATATGGATATTTCACAAAGGGTTTTTTGTTTTGTTTTTAAATCATCACATGTAACATTTAAGGTCACATATTGTCAGTGACTTCTGAAGAGGCCACATTTGAAAAGAACACATTGGAGTGGACTCAACTTCTGCTCCAAACCGATAAAACCAAGCCCACTGCCATAGAGTCAATTCGCACTCAGCAACCCTCTGGGACAGAGTAGAGCTAACCCAGAGTTCCCAAGGGCGTAATAGTTACAGCAGACAGCCAGGCATTTACACAACTGCACCATCCAAACAGCCCCCATCCAGTCAGTCTCCCCCCACTAAGGAAGAAGAGCCTGGGTTTGGGGGCTCGTTTGGGGAGGATCTTGCTATAGAGCAGCCCCCCCCCCCCATGGGAGCAGCAGGTGCTGTGCTGGCCGGCCTCCCCCCTTGGCTGGGGGTGAGTGGGGGACAAACCTGAATTTCCGAGGCTGCAGGTGAGGTCGTTCAGCCCTTGTCTCTGGGTGGCGCTGCACTGGGGTGGGGAGGGTCTTTGCTCCCTGAACCTTAGACTTTGACCCTCCAAACACCCCCGGGATCTCAGCAGGTGTTTGTTAGCATGCGCCCCACACCTCAGACCCACTGGTGTATGAAGGTTTCCTCCAGGAAGAGGACTGGACAGGGAGCCTGCCAGCAGTTGGTGGTTTCATCCACAGGAGCCTCATGGTGGCCAGCAGGGACCTGTGTCCAGCCAAGCCCTGGCCACCCCCAACAGGCAGCCTTTGATTCGGGCTGACCACAATACCAGAATCCAGTGGAACAGCCTCTGCTCTGCACCCCAAGTCCCAGCTCAGGCTTAATGGACAGGCAGGGTTTGGGGGGGCCCTGGCATGGGGGAGGGGCACCTCAGAAGGAAGCCCAGCAATCTGCGCCCAAGACCTCGGGGGCTCATTTAATGAACGGATACAGTGGCAGTAACAAGGGGCTCAAACACCAGCCTTGAGGATCATAGGGGACCTGGTACAACCACCAGCCTAGAAAAAAGGAGTCGTCTCCCTGAACCTCAGCTTCCGCACCTTTAAAATGGGAAACCCACGGACTTCGAGTCGATTTCAATGCACAGCAACCCTTTAGGAAGAAGAGAACTATACCATAGGGTTTCCAAGGCCAACTGCCTCCTCATTCCCCAGGGATTGGCTGGTGGGTTTGAACCAGCAACCTTCGGTTAGCAGCTGAGTGCTTTAACCATTGTACCACCTGAGCTCCTTCTTTCAAATGGAGACATTCCCCTAATGTATACTTGGGTCTAGTTAATAACAGTGTATCTGTATTTGTTCATCCATTGTAACTAATGTATCAGGCTCCATGGCATGTTAATAACAGCAGAAACAATGTGTATGGTTAGGGCTGTTGTTGTTATTATCCTTAGGTGCTGTTGAGTTGGTTACAACTCATAGTGACCCAATACACAATAGAGCGAAGCACTGCCCAGTCCTGCACCATCCTCACAATCATTGTTACACCTGAGCCCACTGCTGCTGCCACTGTACCAATCCATCTAACTGGGGGGTCTTCCTCTATCTCTGATCCTCCGCTTTACCGAACACGATGTCCTTCTCCAGGGAGTGTGTACTTTAGGATGGTGTACTCTAGAACGGTGTACTCTAGGACGTGTACTCTAGGACGGTGTGCTCTAGGACGTGTACTCTAGGACTGTGTGCTCTAGGACAGTGTGCTCTAGGACTGTGTGCTCTAGGACGGTGTGCTCTAGGACGGTGTGCTCTAGGACTGTGTGCTCTAGGACTGTGTACTCTAGGACGGTGTACTCTAGGACTGTGTACTCTAGGACGGTGTACTCTAGGACTGTGTGCTCTAGGACAGTGTGCTCTAGAACAGTGTGCTCTAGGACTGTGTGCTCTAGGACTGTGTACTCTAGGACTGTGTGCTCTAGGACTGTGTGCTCTAGGATGGTGTGCTCTAGGACGGTGTACTCTAGGACGGTGTACTCTAGGACTGTGTGCTCTAGGATGGTGTGCTCTAGAACGGTGTGCTCTAGGACTGTGTGCTCTAGGACTGTGTGCTCTAGGACTGTGTGCTCTAGGACTGTGTGCTCTAGGACGTGTACTCTAGAACTGTGTGCTCTAGGACGGTGTGCTCTAGGACTGTGTACTCTAGGACGGTGTACTCTAAGACTGTGTACTCTAGGACGGTGTACTCTAGGACTGTGTGCTCTAGGACAGTGTGCTCTAGAACGGTGTGCTCTAGGACTGTGTGCTCTAGGACTGTGTGCTCTAGGACTGTGTACTCTAGGACTGTGTGCTCTAGGACTGTGTGCTCTAGGATGGTGTGCTCTAGGACGGTGTGCTCTAGGACTGTGTGCTCTAGGACGGTGTGCTCTAGGACGGTGTGCTCTAGGATGTTGTGCTCTAGGACTGTGTGCTCTAGGACTGTGTGCTCTAGGACGGTGTGCTCTAGGACGTGTACTCTAGAACTGTGTGCTCTAGGACGGTGTACTCTAGGACTGTGTACTCTGCACAATTTTCTGTAAACCCACTAATTACTAACCATCAAGTCGACCCAACTCCTGTCCCATGGTGGCCCCAGGTGTGTCAGGGTGCAGCTGTACTCAGAGGGTTTTCAGTGGTTGATATTTTGCAAGTAGATCACCCGGCCTTTCTTCTAAAGCACTCCTGGGTAAACTGGAACCTCCAAGCTTTCAGGGACTAGCCGAGCACTTCGCTGCAAATCTATTCTACAAAGTAAAATGTCTGCTTTAAAAGGAGACAATAACTCCATCCTGGCTGCATCCCAGGACAGGGAGGCCCCTAAGGGGTGTGGGTGGGTCTCGTGCTGATTGGGACCCCGATGGTAGCAGCTCAAGTCAGTTACGTCAAATTGGGATTTTAGAACCCCTTGTTCACTAAACCCTCATGTTTGGTCATGCTGCCTCATCAGGGTGGGGGCCCTCACGCTTGGTTATACCCAATTCCCACGGCTGCAAGGCTCAGAGAGGGTGAGTGGTTTGCCTGCAGCCACACAGCTGGAAGGGGGTAACTGCTGGCACAGCGATCACTAAGGGTGGGAGCCACTCACGAGCCATCCCAGGCAATATGGGTTCCCATGGCGTCAGCCCATCCGGGACCTGGGAGGCCTTGGCACACGCCCTTGCTGGGAGTCAGGGAGAGGGGCCTCCCACTGCTTGCTCACATGCTGGGGGCTGCAGGGCTGGCTGGCAGCCCCCCTGCTGACTGAGCAGAAATCTGAGCCCAGAAGGTCCTGGGGAAGTTCAAAATCTGCCTGGTAAGGCCTCCTGGGGTGCAGCCAAATCAGACGCAGATGTGGGTGGTGGTGAGCCAGAAGTCAGCGGCCAGCCAGCAGCACTGTGGTCAGGCAGTCGGGAAGCATCTTGGTCCAGTCCACACAAGTCCTGGGGCTGAGTGGGCGTTGTTGCTGGCCCCGACTCATGGCGGACCCCACACACCAAGCATGGCCAGTCCTTTGCCAGCTTCACAGGGACTGGTCCGCTTGAGCCCATGGCTGGGGCCACTATTGTCTTCTACCCCAAGGGACACACCTCCCAGCACTGTGCCAAACCACGCTCCCTTGTGGTCCTACACTCTCATTGGCTGACTTTTAAAAGTCAGTCGCCAGGCCTGGTTTCCTAGTCTGTCTAAATCTGAAAGCTCCACGGAAGGAAACCTGTCCACCACGGTTTAAAATACCGGTGACCTAGCTTCCAGCAACACACAAGCCACCACAGAATGGCACACTGACAGATAGGGGTGCGGACCAGCACTGGGAGGCCCAGTCCCTGCTGTGTGGCCCCAGGCAGATGTCCTGAGTTCTCTGAGCCTCCGGAGTTGGCCCAGAAGAGCCCATTGAGGTGATAATGCTTTGTTCACTGTTCCTGGGACAAGTGAGTCCTCCTTCCCACGTGTCAGGGTATCACTGTGCCACTGCTGCATGTGAGGGGTCCCCATGGGAGCTCAGTGCAGGCGGAGGCTGACTCAGTGTCCAGTGAGGTTCTGGGGTTGGGACCCCTGGATACCTGCAACACCTACATCTCACAAGCACGCCTGGTTCTTCCTGCCAGTATAGGTCTTCACCAGCTGAGCAGCCCGAGATACAAGTTCAACTTCATCGCCGATGTAGTGGAGAAGATTGCTCCCGCAGTGGTCCACATTGAGCTCTTCCTGAGGTGTGTGAGATGCTCCCCTGCCTGCCCAAGGTGTCCCCACATCCCAGCCTAGATCCAGTCCAGCAGCTAGGCTGAAAGCAGAGCAGGGTCTCTCTGTTGACCATCAGCCCGTGGGAAGCCCCTTGTTGTTGGGACTGCTGTCTCCTCACCAGGGGGATTCGAAACTGACCTCACCTCCTGAGTGGACGATACCTGAGCTGTCCTCCCAGGCTCCTGTCACCCACAGTGACGGTCAGCTGTTTTAGTAGGTTCCTACTCCTGCCCACAAATTGGCCAAAATCTCTGATCTCACATCGACTCCTAGGGTCTCTTCCTTCATCCACAGACACCCCAAAAGAGAGAAGCTAAAACATGGCTTCTATGAGTCAGTAGTGCCCCCCTCCTTTGTCCTGACCCCTGGTCAGGGCTGGAGGGCAGCCAACAGCTGGTGGAGGGGACAAGGCTCTGAGAAGCCACCTGGACACTCAGGACACTGAGACGCAGGGGCCAGGCAGTGGTAGGGGTCCCTGGGAACTTGGGGACAGAGCAGGCTCCCAACTGATTAAACTTGTGAGGGTCACATTTGAAGGTGTCCCTTAGGAGGTAAGGGAATGAATGAGGAGAATGTACTTGGGGGCCTCTGTGTGCCCCACACAGGGTCAGAGGTGGCTGATACATCTGGACACTACTGTCCTGGTCTCACGCCTCCCTTGTGGCATCAGGGAGAGTTGGGGGCTGACGCCTGAGGCTTTTCCAAGAACACAAAGCTGATGGGACCCCAGGGTTAGGGCTCCCTGCCCTCAGCACTCTCAGGCCGTCCATGTGTACTATTCCCATTTTCTATCTGGGGAAACTGAGCCCCACCAAGACACACGCCTGTCTCTCTGCAGCACGCTGGCTACCCCGCTGTCTTCTCCGAGGGCCCAGACGTGTGATTAAGGAAATTATAGTCAAGTAGGGTGACACATCCTGTGGCCCTGGCCCTGGGCCAGCTAATGACAGCCTGAGGGCTCTGGTGCTCCCAGTGGGCGGCAAGATCCCAGACAGACAAGATGTCAGAGAGCCCAGAAGTCTCTCAGCTGTGATCCCTGACAGGGGACAGGGAGGCCACTGGCTGCCTGGGGCCCTGTCTGCCCCATGCAGAACCTCTCTGTAGGCCCAGCCCAGTGAACCCTGTCCCACTCTGTGGCCGAGGCAACCCGAGGGACCCGGGGACCCGGGAGAGGTCCCTGCTACTCAACCATAGACAATGGGTCCCTCCCACGTTGGACCCATGCCAGCTCCCAGGAACATCCCCCAGAAAGGCTGGAGTTCCTGCTCTCGGCCGTGGTGAGAACAAACTTTTGCTCTCTGGGACTCTGATGTCAGGCCCTATGTGGCAGGTGTACCTACTCCTCATTCTACAGGTCACCTTGTCTCTGGCACCTGTCAGCCCCTTGTCCCCTGTGCCTCTGGAGGGCCCACGGTGTGAGGTCCAGGGTGGCCCGCCCTCCTATGTCTCCTCACAGAGCAGATAGCACACTGCCTTCTGACCTCACAGGTGCCAGAGGTGTTGGCCCATTGCCCAGATGGGAAGGCTGAGGCTCAGCCATCTGCCTGAGGTGGGATGGTAATGAGGGGCAGGCCCTGGGGCCAGATCACATCTGTCTGGCTCCCAAGCTCCGGGGTCACAGCATGGACGCCTCCGCCTGTCGGCACTGGTGTACCTGCAGATCAGATGTCCCCCTTCATGGTATGGGTAGGTCCTGGCCGGGGTTCCAGTCACCACCCTCAGCGCCTGCCTGTCTCCCCCGCAGACACCCTCTGTTTGGCCATAACGTGCCCTTATCCAGTGGCTCGGGCTTCATCATGTCAGAGGCTGGTCTGATTGTCACCAATGCCCACGTGGTGTCCAGCACCAACACGGTCTCCGGCCGGCAACAACTCAAGGCACAGCTGCAGAACGGTGACACCTACGAGGCCACCATCAAGGACATCGACAAAAAATCAGACATCGCCACCATCAAGATCCACCCCAGGGTGAGTGGGCGTGCGGGACCAGACCACAGCGATGGGTCCTCCCGTGGGCACACCTCTGCCCTGTGCCCAGTGGAATGACGAGTGGCCACCTGACAATCAGTAGGTATGGGACTTGGACCAGGTGGAGTGGACACCTCTGATGTCTCCTGGGCTGGCCCTGAAGGCAGCTGTCCCCATGGGGGTGACAATGACCAGATGGGACACTCTTGGGGTAACACACACACAC